CACAACAGTCATTTCTCCATCTTTATAATTAAACCGAGGCTCACTATATTGCGCCATCCAGACTTTCTACCCATAATGGTTTTCATTATTACTGATTCCAATAAGATATTAACATCATAATGGTTGATAAAACCCCTGGTGGTATGGTATTGCGTTTGATAAGTATATTGTAATTTACACTGGAGGTGTTCGGCTCGTTTGTATGAGATAAATTATGTGTGAATAACATCGTTAAAAGTATTTTCGTCTATAAACATACAGTTAAAACCGTACAATATCTTGATAACGCCTTTCTCGGCAGTAATATTCAAATTTACAAAGCTTGGATGCACGATCAAAGTGTAATAACGGAAACATAAAATTTTCTCATCCAAATTTGATGGTAAAGTTTACAAAAATAGTTAATTTTTGTTTCTAACAGCATGCAAGTAATGCACCGATAAGAAAGTGCAGCATGTTGATGATATTTTAAACATTTCGATTCTCCCAAAGATATTTTTGAAACGATTAGACACGTTAATATTAAGATCAATATCTGGCCGATCAAATTTTAACGACGCAATCGAATCTACGTTAGAGAATTTCAAGATTTTTAATGACATCTCTCTATTGGGAAATATTTTCAAGTTTATGACTACACTGGGATCTTTGTAGAGATCATCTCATTACAGAGATTTCATAGTGAACTAAATTACAGTCTAGTTATCATCATCATGGATTACGATGTTTGCTTGTGATTTGCCAATAACTACTTGATTAGGTCCAATCTTGCAGCTATTTGCAGTAAAATTGATGATTTTATGCTACCATCCGATTCTATGGCCTACTTTGAATAATCTAGCTTCGTTTATGCCTAGTTTCATTAATCCCATGGTCTACTTTGATAATTTTGCTCTGCGAAAGCTGTTTTGCTATCCATCCTATTGTGAAAAGTTTATATTGCACAAAAATACTTTTACATGCTTTCAAGGGCAGCAAGTCTGTTATTCTTTTCGTTGCGGGTCCAATGACAGTTTGAACTTTCCCCCGGGACAAACTTGACCTTCACTGGTTTGGTTTTTATTGGCGGTCCAGCTGTAGAGTTGCAGCAGTGGTAACGAGAGGTGGGAATAGTCCCGTTTTGTTAAACGGTTTTCGGTAAACTTTTTCATTTTCACTTTAAACATGTCATTAGGTATTAGCAAAGTGTACCATATTATGTGTTCACAATAACTTATTACACTTTCGTAATGTTATGGTTTCAAATATTAAATTTGCCTCGCCCTAATACCGATTGCATCACCACTTTCCAGCCATCAATCTCGGTGCAGCTGCATTAGTATTGTGTATTGTTTATTCCGATCTTGAAGCCGTATTAGTATGCCGATCCTAAAATTTGATCAATGAGTAAGCCACTAAAAGTTTTACAAACTGTTAGTAAAGAAAATGAATAGATGTCTTAATAATAAGCTTAAAGTTAATTGTGTTAAGTCTCAGAACAATAATTAAAATCAGTTATTGAGACTTTTTTTACCCAGGAAAATGGCCTATCCATACCTACCGCCGGGGGACGGCAGGTTATGTGGGGCTCGAACCCACTAAAAACCTGGGGTGTTCCCTCTGCCGCATAGTGGTCGGCGCCTTGGGTACTAGAAACGACCAAGGCGCCTTAGTTATTAGGATTTACTGCTATTTAAATGACTCTCATAATTAAGAAACCTCGAAAGTGCACTTGTCTATGTTCGATTCTTATTATTTTCCCAAAGAAACCAAACTATATCCATAGGTTAAAAATTGTCGACATCTTACAACTTCTCGGTACTATATTGACTGGTTTGAATTAATTTTGTAGCCGTCTCGTTAAAATGTATTACTTTTCTTTTACATAATTATCTTATTAATGTGATGACGACATACAGTTTCAAAGCCTCGATTGGTTTATAAATTCGGGCCTTCTGAGATCGAATCAGCTGAGAGTGCAGGTGTAAATGCATTTCATTATGCGGACTGCGATGAAAGCATATCTCCGTTACAGTCTTTAACACTTTGTTTTCACCCTTAATTGTATACTAATAAGGCTTATTATCCAAGCAACTTTTGGTTGACTGTACGTGTTTGATAGGGGCTTTCGTCAGAACTTCATGATTTATTTATCCATGAACCGACTTTGATGAGGCTCTTCTAGCAATCAATAGTCTGACAATACTTTTGTCTAGTACGTGCGATGGCGAATCAAGCTTCACTCGGTTGTACCTTATTTAGTTGTGATAGAAGCTATTTTGGAACAAAAATGTATCATCTGATATGCTGGTTACTTTGGTAGGTTTCGGCGTTGAAATGTGACGGTGATTTAGATCGACACTTACTTAATATAAATAAATGGTAAATATTTAGTTTGCTCAATAATAAACAGATATAAGATTTTGATTCTAGGAACTTGAATTGGAGTAACTTAACAAAATACCTATATTAAATAACACGCCACCTGCGTGAAATTTAGTTTGTCACAGATCGTTATAAATTATAGCTTATACTTATGTTATTCTGGATTATAAACAGTAATAATCTAAAGTTTCATCAAAATCCGTTCTGTAGTTTTTGCGTGAAAGAGTAACAAACATGTTAAAAAAAAAAACTAAAAAAAAACTAAAAACTCATTAAAAAACATCTAAACATCCATACAAACTTTCGCATTATAATAGTAGTAGGATAGTAGGATGCTACACAACGACGTATTCAGGTTAGCAATTTATTGTATTTTAACAATGGCTAAAAAAGTAAAAATATCGCCAAAATTAGTGAAACTTCCAAATTCAAATCGAAAAAAGAATAAACAGGAAACATTAAACGTGAAACTGGCCGCTTTTCGTCGTTTTTTGTCGCATTTAAAAACTAAATACCGTAATATCGGCAGTCATAGGCGGCTGCGCGTGAGCGGCCAGAGAGCACGTTCCGCCCTTTGTTACTTTTTAGGGTTCTGTGTCTTATTTTTCAACGACTAATACTGAATTTTATACCGACCTACTTGCTATTTTTCAAAATTGCTTCTTTTAAATTAAAAAAAAAAAAAATGAAATTCGAATTCGGATCGAATGAGGGTGGGTTTTCGCGATTGAAAAATCCGCCAGATGGCAATACGTAGACGTGAGGTCCAAATGCTGCATGATTGGTTATTTTTGACATGACATTGACAGATAATAATATGTCAAAATCCATCCATCCGCCATCTGGCGGATTTTTCAATCGCGAAAACCCTCATTCGCTGCTATGTAGTTTCAACCTCATTCTCAAGTTTAGAATAAATTCATTTCTTACTTCCATGTTTTCTACTGCACATAATTATTGCAAATTATCGTGCTTATTTTTTCTTGGTGTACATTTTTTGCTGTTGTTTTTATAGACGACGACTCAATTGATATGTAAACTTTGAATATTAATGAATCTTCTCTGCCTTTACATATTTATTTAGCCAAGACCTCGAGGCATAAAGCAAGGCTCGCACTTGACACTCAATGTTATTTTTTAAGTTTCCTCAGTCTAAACAGCGTCGAGTTCTTATGTCAACTGCCATTGTTGGTTTAGATTGGCTTCTGCAGCCTCTATGGCCACTCTTTGTGTAAAGTTAAGTTATATTTTTGTTGCGATAGATATTTAGGGATCGTTTAGTGAAACAATGATGTTTAGGTTCCTTATAAAACTTACTATCACACCAGTTAAGCTAAAGAAAGTTGTTGATGTGAGTGATAGATGAGTTTAAGGATTAGCATTAATGACAGTTAAATAAAAAAAATAAAGACACCGTGGGACGTCCACCCACAAGGTGGACCGACGACCTGATAAAGGTAGCAGGAAGGCGCTGGATGCAGGCCGCTACTAACCGTACAATGTGGAAGTCATTGGGGAAGGCCTATGTTCAGCAGTGGACGTCAACAATAGCCAGCTAGTTTCTAATTAATTCACCGGGAGCGTTAATTGCTGGTCTATCATTAATTATTATTAATGATTAATTATGAGAAAATATCTGTAATTCCGTTGTTAAATTTTACAATATGAACCAACAACTTAATGAACACTAAACCTTAACCTCTTGACACCCATTAAATATTACCTTTAATTTATGGAGATTGTTCTCTTAATCATAGAACATATTTTACAGGTCGCATCTACAACTTTATTAGCCTTGATTGATAATGCTAAGACAGTATTATATTTTCTACTTTCACAAGACTGTAAACTTATTTCAGCGCCCATAAACCTTTATGGTGGGAAAGTGACACTCTTCGCTTAATAATTTGTCTATGGTATGCTAATGACATAGTCAATATTATTGTTCAATTTAATTACTTTGACGCGTTGACTTTTACAATTTTTTTATGGGGCAGGAGACAACTAAACTAACAGAAATCAAGTTATATTATACCAAGAAATATAAATTAAATAAGCTCCACGATAAACAGCGTTAAAGTACACACATTGATTCGTGTAGCAACGAACAGTTTAAGAAATTTCATAATCGTTAAATAATGGGGAACCCTTGACTTATGATAAACAAATGACTTAAGTTTGGCATCTCTCACCCTCTAATAATGAAAGTTACACGCGAATCCTATATTTAATAGTCATTAATTACTATTCTCTGCTGTAAGTTGTTATTAAAAAGGTATTAATAAAGGGTTTCATATGGTGTATTTTTAGAAACTTGAATAAGCAACAACAAAGCCAGAAAATACTAAATGCGCATTATTAACCCCACAATATTGCTTCAGGTATTACAACGCGACGTGGAATGCCACGGTCGTATCGTGTCGTGAGCTCTTCATACGCCTTTTCGGGCGAACTAATGATTCTTAAATGACCCTACTACAGCCTTTAGTTCTACAAGCGCATTATTAACTCCACAATATTAGATATGCCACGGTCGGATTGTGAGCTCCGCGTGCATTTCCCTTATCACTCTTATAAGACTTTAATATTGCCTTTAGATCTAAAAGCGCATTATTAACCCCACAATATTGCTCCAGGTATTACAACGCGACGTGGAATGCCACGGTCGGATCGTGAGCTCCGCGTGTGTCTATTCTCGCGACAATCTCATTATTTTACACTTCCCTTATCACTCTTATAAGACTTTAATATAGCCTTTAGATCTACAAGCGCATTATGAACGCCACGGTCGTATCGTAAGCTCCTTCATACGTCTTTTCGCCCGGCATCCTTATTCATTATGACTCTTAATGACCCTTCTACAGCCTTTAGCTCTACAAGCGCATTATTAACCCCTTTATATTGCTTCAGGTATTACAACGCGACGTGGAATGCCACGGTCGGATCGTGAGCTCCGTGGTGCGCCTGTGCGGCGGAGGCGACGCTGCGCGCGCGCTGGAAAGACGCTGGCACCTGCTGTACTTGAGGGCCATTGAGTGGCAGTGCCATCTGGAGGCGTGTCTTGCCAGGATCGATAATCAGGTGGGTGATCATCGCAGTCATCATCATCTCAGCCATAGGACCACCACTGCTGAACATAGGCCTCCCCCAATGCTTTCCATGTTACCCGGTTGGTAGCGGCCTGTGTCCAGCGCTTTCCTACTACCTTTATGATGTCTACGGTCGTCCTTGTGGGTGAACGTCCCACTCTGCGTTTCGCAGTATCAGTTTAGAAATATTAAACGCTTAGTTAAGCACACGAATTATAATTTATGCCAGACAACACGCAAAAATCATCATAATTTTGAACGACAGAACTCAATGTACCTATTTCACACCATCACCAGAAATTGTGCATTGCAATAAGTAGGTAGTTTATTAGGTACCTATACAATTTAAACACAAAAAGTGAAAGATACAAAATGTTGACCACTTAGCTGTGCATTAAAAAAAAGCACGAAATAAATACTGTAAAGTTACAGGACATCGCATGAAACATTATTTCTAAAAGCAGCTGTATTTGATCGGCCGATATCATATCATAGACAAATCTGATAGACAATCGACTAAACGAGTTGTACATTTATTGGGAAAATATAAAATTCCCAATTACCAGTCGTATAAAATTGCAAATATTCCCCTCATTTCAACGAATGTAATCGAAGGTCATTGTTCATTTTATGGCGCGTTCTGGGAAGCATTTTCCCATAATTCTAACCGACAATGGCACAATCAACCACCCGCTGCTGTGGTGTTTGCAAACATGCCCCTTAGCGGTTAAATTGTCAACTGTCCCCTAGTGCTTAGGAAATTACTGTGTAACATAAAATTGGCAAAGGGTTGCATATAAAAGCGAATTTCTGGGCGTTGTCTAGTCAGTTTGATTTGTTTTAATTCCAAGGCTGGAAATAGATAATAAGTAATACGGATTCCAAGCAACTAATCGTGATGAGTTCAGTTTGGTAATTTTATTGGGAAGAAGGCACTGCTTTATTGTTGCATAATATACTGCACTATTATTTCTTGCCTTACGTAAATATTTAAGGATTGTAGGATGTAATTTTAGAAGCTTCATTTAGTTACATTTTCTTTTTAGTTTCGTTTTCTTCACTTTCTTCTTGCCAACCCTAGTCAATGGTACAATAATAATTTTATTTCACCCTTTTCTTATTCCCACTTTAACCGTTTAAATTATAACGACCGCTACACAAGTGCGGGCAAATAGAAAGGGTTGGCCACGTGTCTCTTAAATTATACCATTCAATGGTGTGGTCTTTGTTTTTGATTTGTGGTCGCTAGGAAACAATTTGGCCTATAATAATATTCGAAATGTTTACTTTGGGATCGCCCGGACCGGCCTCTCGCATTTGAGGGTTAATTTATTCTTATTAGATGACGTTTAGTTGATATAAATTAGTTTATGAATGGATTCTGATCGCTATAAATTTTGTACTGGGTTTATTTATGTAATAAAATTGAATTAAGGACGGTGATTGAATTTAGTCTAAAATTACATTTGTTTGTCTTGGCTGCATTCGATTTTATTATCTACACAAACATTCCCACATTGGTCCATGACATGCCCACACTTTGTGGATCAATAAATTAAGAATTCGCGTGCTAAAATTACTGTTAGTTTAATTTGTAATCTAGTCATTATTTTTCACCTTTGTCTCTTCTACTAATTTAAAGAGATACTCTTACAAAAGTGTCACAATAAATAACATAAAATTAGAACTGCATAATTTTTTCACACGGCACGGCAATGCAGGTCAGGTTTCCAATGCAGGAGCAAAACCGTCTAAAATTTACTAGATGCTAATGGAGAATCTGGCCTATAGGTACTTCTCATTCCCCGTTGGTGGTGTTACAATTTAGTCTATCTTGCATATTGCCAGGTAGCTAAATAGGGCCTGTCTTTATTAGGCAGTCTTATCGATAAAAGCGAAAGGTCACTGATTGACTGACTCACTCATCACGAAATCTCAGGAACTACAAGTGCTAGGAGTCTCAAATTTTGCATGGTTTCATGTTCATGTTCCTTTTAGAACGTATGTGCTCACTAAGACGGGACTTTGCAAAATTCAACCTCTAAGGGGCTAAAACGGTAACGTACGTAGTCGCGGGCGGCCGCTAGTGAAGATAATATGTGTGTTTTCATTTCAACAACCATTTGTCCATAATTCCAGGGTGGGGCGTCAGTGGAAGCGGCGAGCGACAGCGACGACGAGCCCGCTCTGAAGCAGCCCCGGCTCAGCAGGCGAGGCTCCCCGCGACGACAGCGGACACCCGTCAACAGGAGGAGGCAGCGCTCGGAGGACAGCCGGCAATCCGCCTCTGAGGTAAACACACTTATTTTTTTGCGAATAGGTTTTTTTTAAAAGGAGTATTTCGTTTCAGCCGAATGACGTGACTGCTGGACAAAGGCCTCCCTCCCCCATGGATATCCACAATGACCGGTCCTGCGCCGCCCGCATCCAGGTATCTCCCAAAGGCCAAAAGGACACTTATTACATATTAAAGGGGAAAAGGGGGTTTATGAAGGTACCTAACTGAGTTTTTTGCGCTGCTCTTTTTTCAGCATTGGCCCATTTATGGTCTCGAAGCAGTGGTAGGGTTGAAGTAATATTGGGACGTGTAAAAGCGCTTTTGAAAGCCTATTTGCAGAAAACAAACTACTTTTCTGACTTTTAGCTTTTTAAAGCCTTTCACGCCTTTATTCGGTTTTGGGATTCACAGAAATAACATAAGAAATATCATAATTTACCAATGTGTACACTTCTTTTGCCATTTATAACTCTGATATAAACTACGAAACGAAACTCCAACCAAAGTAATCAGTTATTTACTAACGCTCAACACCAAAACGTTTAATTTTAGAGTGCACTTCAATCAAGTTCGATCCTAGAACGTTCCACTTCCAAGGCCACCTTAATTTGACTGAGAAAAGTCTAGAGGTATTGAGCAGGCGGTTAACGCACGATTATTGAACATTTTCCAGTTTCCACTGAAATTTTTCAATGTCTCGCACTGCGTTGTCTTCCTTTAGTAATCTTTACTTCTAAAATACCACTTCTTCGTGCTTTTTTATTAAAATTTATCGCAATTTCTTCCAGGAGGAACAAGAATATGTGCTGACCTACACCTGGCGCGGCTTCGGCTCGGACTGTGAATCGGAGGTGGCTCGCTACCACGACCACAACATGGCGGACGAGCGGCGAGTGCCTTGCGCGCGCGATATGGCTTCCCCGCACACGGACCAGACCGTCCCCGGGGCGTTGGACCAGATGGATGGTACGTTTCATCATCATCATCATCATCTCAGCCATAGGACGTCCATTGCTGAATATAGGCCTCCCCCAATGATTTCCACTACGATCATGCTGGTCGTAACAGAGGGAGCTTAATATTCAAATCAAGTTGTTTGCTTATCGATGACCTTTCCCCTGGGACAAATTTGATCTTCACTGGTTGGGTTTTTATTAGCCGTCAAGCCAGTCCTGGATCGGTCAATAGGCCGTATAGGCCGCGGCCTAGGGGCGGCAGATTTCAGATGACGCTTACTCGATTTCAGAAGATAAAAGTTAAATAAAGATCCAACCCCACCCTAGCCTACGGGCGGCAAAACTGTAAATCCGCCACTGCGTCAAGTTGTAGATCCTGACTACACAGAAGTTGCAGTCTCGTAACACAACTTAACAAAAAACTAATGAGCAGCAAGTGCGATGTAAAATTAACATGATTCACTCTAAACTAAGAGTTTCCAAAACTCCCACGGCCATCATCTATACAAGTCGCAATGCATAATTAATTATAGTTATGGTAACACGGTAGAAACGCACAACTTGTAATAACTGCCCTCGTTACATTTCCATAAAGAACGCTTGTCAATGAATAAACAAAGCGTCCACTTTCCATTTTCTCATAAAAGAAAATATTCAACGGCTCTCGCCGACGATTTGAATTTAAAAACAATGGCATGTTGATTGATTCCAATACTGGAAGTATTGTGAAATCCAAACAAACAAATACCGTATTTGCCGTTCAATGAATAACGATTAGTTTGACTTTTGCAGGCATCGAACTGAGCACGACGATCAACATAGAGGAAAAGCTGAAAACGCCACCGACCGTCATCAAAAGAAAGAAACCAGTGGACTCATCGAAATTCAACCAATCCGACAGAAAATCTAAGAACTGTGCAACTTTCTACTTCAGACACCACGATACGGACTCTGACAGACAAATGATTGAAACCGACGAGAAATCTCAAGAAGAATCATCAGAAGAAGACGAATGGACTTACGTTGGTGCTCCTAAAATTGCGAATGAAGATTCTACGGATATAATGACGTCATCAGTGGAGATACAATGCGAATTACCTTTGGATGAAAAGAAAGATACCGCGTCTCCAAAGCCGAAATTGGAATCGTCTACGCCAGATTTACTTCGTGTGGAAAATACCAGATGTAAAGATATTGAAAGATTGGTCATACAGGCTGAGGAATTGGTGCAGAAGCAAGCTCAACAAATGGCGAAGAAGAAAGGATCAAGGACGTTTAAACCGCTCATGTTTGAAGAGGAAGGCAAGAATATAAACAGGAACAAAATGTCGCGGATAAAAGAATGGCTCAATCAAAGCTCAGATGGCAAAAACGATAGTAATCAGGTAAGAACTTATTAACTTTAAAATAAAGTAGTAGTATTTGAGTAGTAGAATCAAAACTTTTTGTTTGATCGATCAAAAACACGCTGTATAATTTTGTGAGTTAACACATCACTGCGAAACAAAACTCCAAATAAAAAGGAAAGGGACCTATTACAAAATAATTATTTTATGTACATAACACCTATTTTAGCATCACTAAGCTAGGTAAAGACAATAACTTTCTATTGTTATAACTCATGTTATCAAGATTATGCATCTATCGAACGCATTCTTACTAAAATCTTTGGAATTTTAACTGCAGCTAAACTGGCATCTTAATTGTTAATAAATAAGTGCTATTTTGCTACAAAAATTTAATTTGATTTAGTAGCGATTGCAAGCACAACATTATTTTGTGAAAGGTAAACTGTTGGTGGGAGCGACTTTAAATTTAGTTTGTGAAAAAACCTCGTCATACTAAATACGTATTTAATTTTATTTTGCTATTTTTGTGAGTGGAAATCGCAATATTTAATACAGGAAATTACAAGTTGTTCAACGGACGTTATAAACCTAAGGTATAAATAAATAAAGGTATTATAGTAATAGGAAGAAAATACGATCAACAGTACTTTACATTTTTTAAGTTTAAATTTTTTTAGCGTTAAGAGTTGCATCTAAAACTAATTAAATTTTTTAACCGTAACAGCGTATTACGTTTTATATTATCTGTGGTATGACTTAAAAATATCGACGGGTGTCCATTTTTTTTTGCAATATAATACCTTCATCATCATCATAATTTCAGCCATAGGACGTCCACTGCTGAATATAGACCTCCCCCAATGCTTTCCATGTTGATCGATTGGACCGACGACATCGTAAAGGTAGCGGGGAAGCGCTGGATATAATACCGTATTACAAATAAGAGTGTTTACGTTCATCTGCCCTCCGTACTAATTTTATGTGCTTTCTAGGGCACGGAAAGTTATGATGCATCTGGCGAATACACAACAGAGAGTGAAGTTGACACCTCGCTGACGTCAGAGGAACGGAACCTGCACTCCTCAATGGATATGAGCACGTCAACCTGCACTGTCACTCCTACGCACCACGCCAAGGTAAATACAATCTTGTGTGCTTGTGTTAAGTGTTGTTTTCGCTTATTGTGCTGTTTTTTTTTTTGTTTCTGTGTGTAAAAAGTTGACGATATTAACGTTTTTTGTTTTGACCACACTTAACATTCTCAAAAACTGTTTTTTTAGTTATTTGGAATCGAATCTTATTGTATTTTATTTTATTGAAACAAAGTAAAAATACGAGTAGTCTGGAAGGTTCCACTAACATTTTATAACCTAAATATTTCTGATAACCGATATCAGGGCATATCAAAGTAATAAAATAATTTGCATGCAATGTATTTTGCTGATATAAGGTATAACATACAATAAATCATTCAAATCAATCTCTAATCTAAATAAAACACTAAATCATCCCAATCATTAGAATCTCACATTTTCACGTATTTAAACAACAACAAGATTATGACTCTTAACAACTAGTACTGCTGGTACATGTATAAGTCTTCTTATACATATGTACACAGCTGGGCATTAACTCGAGGTGGCCATAGGAATTTCTAAACGAAACGGTGGAAACTTAACGAGTTTGGGTTTGCTGGATTTGTCTTTGCGAGCACTTTGGTGCTAAATTGTATTGTAATTGAACCAAGGCTCTGAGATTGAGATACCTACTACTAAAAAAAAGTGTAAACAAAATAAAATTATGATAACAAACTTTTTTAAAAACAAGCTTTTATTCTGAAATGAAGTTGTACTAAAACGAAAAAAATAATTGTACTTATGCAAGGTTCAAATAATTTCGAAAGCTTGTAGCGCAAACATAAAAGAGGAATATAAATTCCATGCGCGATACAAGCTTTCGAAATTATTTGAACCTTGCATGCAATTATTTTTTTCGTTTTATTATCACGAGTTAACGGATTAACGATTAACCTTAACTTGCGTTAAATCTTGCGAAATGTAACGTTTTAACGTTTAACGAAGTTATTTTTTTTTATTAACGGTTTAACGATTAACGAAGTTAACTATTTGATTAACGGTGCCCAGCTATGCATATGTATACCTACGCGCATAATACAACCAAAACATAAAACTTCTTACATTTAATACCTTTCTCCCACATTACACGTACAAAACTACAAACCATTATGTGTATAACACCAAGCTTGCGCTTAACTCCAAAGGTACAACTGCGAAAGAAGCGGGGCGGCAACAGCGCGCGCCCGTGGTCGGTGTCCTGTCTCTCTCAGCTGAGCGGGGCGGTGGCTTCTCTCGTGGCCACGCCCACAGCGGGCGACGTTGCCGCTATGTCGCACAACATGTCGATATCGGAGTCAGCGCTCAATACGTTGGCGTCGCCGCAAAGGGTGACGCCGGCTAATTCGAACTCGAAATTGAGAGGCAGTTCGACTACAGTGCAGGTGGGTGTTAACGGTGTGGTTAATTTTGGTGGTGGTACCAGTTAATGTCAATATGCAATAGATTATTAACTCTTAGTTTTTGGATTGCTGGTGTGGCCGACGTCTCGCCAAATGTTGTATGAGAAGCTCTGTACTCGAATTTCGAGCATTCTTTAAGTCCTTCTAGTCGTAAGTTCAGAGGATAGATAAAAATATTGGTACAGACATCCGAGATATTGCGAGCAAGAAACAATTGGCCTTAAATTAGGTGTAGTGTTTCTTTTATTATATTAATAAATCGTTCTACTATCTATACATGCATGTCGACCATAATCTGGCATATCATCATTATTTCAGCCACAGGGCGTCCACTGAACATAGGCCTCCCCCAATGATCCACATCTCCCGGTTAGTAGCGCCCATATCGAAATTAAATGAAACATTTTATTCATTACATAGGCCCCTTCCAGGGCACTTACACACGTCCCGAATATAACTTGCCCTACCACTACTTTGGGACAAAATATGGGCTGGTAATGAGAAGAAGTGGCGGAAGAAACTCGAGTCACCTTTGTCATCCAATCTGGCCCATGTCAACGTAAAAATTGTTAAAATCTGCTGACCCAATCCACTATTGTAATTTCATTTCAATTATAGTAGTACTTTAATATACAGTATTTTGGTCGTTGTAATACCACAGAATAATAATAAGTACTAGGTACGTACAGAAGTTTTACTTCGCGAAGGTATTTAAAAAATGTATGTGTAATTTAGCCTGTCTCAAAAGTCAAGCACCATTTTGTTGACAAACGTCAGTGATCGGCACTGCGCCGAAGCTATAGGGCTGACTTCGGTAAAATGATGTGACGTGAGGTGCCAAACTGCGGAAAATGGCGGAGGAAATACATGATTTAGCATGAATTATCATGAATAATATTAACTACTTATTTACCTCTCAGTGTCTTGAGGCAACTTAAAAAAGTACATTCTGTGTTTTTATTATTATTTTGGCAGTTAAATACTGCACAGTATTTAGTACACAATTTTCTTTATTTTCTTCCATCATACACAAGAATACGCGTGCGTGAGTCAATGTTCGCTCGTATGTGAGACCTTGTCGAATAGTATCCTGTAGGTGGGCCACCGTGCGTGTTTTGTTTTCGATGTAAACTCGCGGAGATGAACAGGCCTGGTAATACTACTTGATACTAAGACTTACCAATAAATTACTTTCCCAGGGCCACGTATCCAGCACAAACACAATGACAGAAGCCTGCACATCCTGCGTCGAAACCTCCGACAAGCAGTGCTGGCTGCGACGCAAGCGACTCAAGCTGCGACGTCACAACAACTCAGCCAGAAGGGAGCGCCTGGTCAAAAGCCAGTCCTTCTGTGGACGACTCAGTCCCGAGATAGAGGATAAGCACGAGAGAAGTGCTGCCAGCGACCCCGCTACTAGCAGGAAGGGACGGTATGTAATAAATAAGCTGTGACGTCACAACAACACAGCTAAAGCCCGGTCGCCGAGCACGTAGAATTTCGTCCAATGACCCCAAACTACCCATCCTTATCGCTCGCGCGTAATTATGTTGCTGTCGCGCTCGCACACTCACTGCGGCCGCCCGTCGCACAGTCGCGACAGCAATATAATTATGCGCGAGCGATAAGGATGGGTAGCTTGGGGTCATTGGACGAAATTCTACGTGCTCGGCGACCGGACTATAGAAGGGAGCGCCTGGTCAAGAGCCAGTCCTTCTGTGGACGACTCAGTCCCGAGATCGAGGATAAGCACGAGAGAAGTGCTGCCAGCGACCCTGCTACTAGCAGGAAGGGACGGTATGTATTCAATAAAGCTGTGACGTTACAAAAACACAGCTAAAGCCCCGTCGCCGAGCACGTAGAATTTCGTCCAATGACCCCAAGCTACCCATCCTTATCGCTCGCGCGTAATTATGTTGCTGTCACGCTCGCACACTCACTGCGGCCGCCCGTCGTACAGTCGCGACAGCAATATAATTACGCGCGAGGGATAGGAATGGGTAGCTTGGGATCATTAGACGAAATTCTACGTGCTCGGCGACCGGACTATAGAAGGGAGCGCCTGGTCAAGAGTCAATCCTTCTGTGGACGACTCAGTCCCAAGATAGAGGATAAGCACGAGAGAAGTGCTGCCAGCGACCCCGCTACAAGCAGGAAGGGACGGTATGTATTCAATAAAGCTGTGACGTTACAAAAACACAGCTAAAGCCCCGTCGCCGAGCACGTAGAATTTCGTCCAATGACCCCAAGCTACCCATCCTTATCGCTCGCCCGTAATTATGTTGCTGTCACGCTCGCAAACTCACTGCGGCCGCCCGTCGCACAGTCGTAAGCATGAGAGAAGTGCTGCCAGCGACCCCGCTACTAGCAGGAAGGGACGGTATGTAATAAATGAAGCTGTGACGTCACAACAACTCAGCCAGAAGGGAGCGCCTGGTCAAGAGCCAGTCCTTCTGTGGGCGACTCAGTCCTGAGATAGAGGATAAGCATGAAAGAAGTGCAGCCAGCGACCCCGCTACTAGCAGGAAGGGACGGTATGTATTAAATAAAGCTGTGACGTCACAACAACACAGCTAAAGCCCGGTCACCGAGCACGTAGAATTTCGTCCAATGACCCCAAGCTACCCATCCTTATCGCTCGCGCGTAATTATGTTGCTGTCGGGCTCGCACACTCACTGCGGCCGTCCGTCGCACAGTCGCGACAGCAATATAATTATGCGCGAGCGATAAGGATGGGTAGCTTGGGGTCATTAGACGAAATTCTACGTGCTCGGCGACCGGACTATAGAAGGGAGCGCCTGGTCAAAAGTCAATCCTTCTGTGGACGACTCAGTCCTGAGATAGAGGATAAGCACGAGAGAAGTGCTGTCAGCGACCCCGCTACTAGCAGGAAGGGACGGTATGTAGTAAATAAATGAATAAATTAGCTGTGACGTCACAACAACTCAGCCAGAAGGGAGCGCCTGGTCAAGAGCCAGTCCTTCTGTGGACGACTCAGTCCTGAGATAGAGGATAAGCACGAGAGAAGTGCAGCCAGCGACTCCGCTACTAGCAGGAAGGGACGGTATGTACTAAATAAATGAATAAATAAGCTATGACGTCACTCAGCCAGAAGGGAGCGCCTGGTCAAGAGGCAGTCCTTCTGTGGACGACTCAGTCCCGAGATAGAGGATACCCCGCTACTAGTAGAAAGGGGCTGTCCGCGGTATGTACTTAAAGACCTTTAAGCCCGGCTCAGGACGAGGCACTGACGTGGTTACGGTTTGATGTAAAATATACGAGAAGTGCCCTGCAATTTGGCGATTGTCGCTATGTCTGAACCAGGCCTTATAGTACCAGATTTGCTTGTATTGTTACGTCCAGAAAGTCCAAACTCATAAAAACTGTCACCACTCTATTTAGATTTGTAAGGCAATAGTAGCGCCATCTATTGCGTTCTGGAGTAGGTAATTAGCACTTATTGTGCACTTTTTTTTAAAGAATATAAATAATTTGAATTGCATATGAGCACAATTTGTAGGCTCCAAGCTAAACAAAATTTCTACTTCTGTTAGGAATTCGTTCACAGCAATACTTAGCCCACAACTCTGTTTTCAAACTATACCATATCCCCAACAATCTATCACTAACTAACTAACGAACAACACAATTCTTCATCAGGTTCGACACAACCTCAACATCGGGCAACGACAGCGACGAAGACCTGCGCAAAAGCATAGAGAAGACCCACATCTCCACACGAGACCAAGACAGTGCCATTCCAGAACAGAACGAGCAAGAAACTGTGGCCCCAAGCTTCAAACTAGGCCCGGCAGGGGGCGCAGTCAGGCCCCGTATAGCAAGAAGTACGGAGAGGGAAAGATCCTTCTTAGCGCTGAGTTTGGGAGACCCGAATCAACTGTGGGATCTGAGTATGGATAAGGACTCAGATGTGGATAAGAGTGTGACGGCTGGGACGGAGGAACACAGCTCGTTTTCGGAGCAGGCCTGGGACTTTTACCAGGTAAAAATAATTTAGAATACTTTTGCATTGTAAATTTGATGGTTATTTTGATCAATAATTTTAGTTTTCCTTGCTTCTATGCAAAAACATTGTAACCTTTACTTTCATAAAGACGTTAATAACCTTTTCTAACCTAAATATTTTAAAGTTGGCAACAGGGATTTTGTCTCATCCAGTACCTAGGCTTCGGCACAGCCGTGTACACTGTACAATTTAAATATATGTACCCACCATTGAGACCACAAATCCTTGAACCATGCTTGATGAAAGCAACAATCACTCACCTCCCCTTCCTTTCCAGGAAAAGTACAACTCCGAGCCGTACTCCGAAGCCCCGGACTCCGACGCCGCGCGCCGCTTACTCGAGTTCGGCGACGACTACCGCGCCTTCCTGGACTCGCAGTCCGACTGCTGCTCAAGCCTGTCCGCTCAGCCCGAGCGAGCCAGCCCCTCCCGTCGCCGGCCCTCCGCCTCCCGCGAGAGAAGCCTCCCCCGCCACAAACGCCCCACTAAGGAGGGAAGGTCCCCCGACGAACCCCCACGAAAACCCAAAAAGTCAATGTCCAGCGCCGAACGCAAAAAATCACTACTCGACAGCCTCGAGCGCTCCCGAAACAACACCAGCATCGAAAGCAACGATGGCGTACGACGCCGCAAAACGGACCCCAAAAACAACAAGCGCTCGCCCGAATTCGATTTGCTCAACGTCCAAGCTCTCAGCCGGAGGCGACACAGCTCAAACCTAACCAGCGATGAAATCAACAGCTCGTTAGAATACACCGAAGTCAACAACCGCCCTGACATCTTAGACTCTTTAAATCGAAGACGGCGAACCGAAAAAGACGGCGAGAGCGAACTCCAAAAGATCGCATTATCCGAATTGCGACGGCGCTCGACCGAAAGCGCGGACTCTGAAGACGAATCGTCCAGCCCGAAGAAGCACAGCCACCGCACCTGGGGGGAGGACTCCGATTCGGAGTCCGAGGAAGTCCGGTCTCTAGTCCGTCGCTCGAGCACGCAGCTGGAAGCGGTCGAGGCTCTCATGGCGCGCCAAGACGCGTCGCCAGACCTGCTCCGAGCATTCGACTACGTAAGGAACAAATTCGATACCGATTACAGTAGTAGTTTCACGGACAGCGATGATGACGTCGCGTCGTGCGTCACCCGGCGCCCCGCATGCTTCAGGGCCAGGCTGTGTCTAGCACTAGCCGCCTTCTCGATACTTGTAATAGTCTACATACATTTACAATGACACTTGGCTTGGGCTTGTGTGATATTTATTATTATGTATGTAAGTATACGTATAAAATTCGCTGCGATCGTCAGACTACGTGAGAATGTGGTTAAAAGTCGAATGAATGACGCGTCGTTATAGAAAAAATTGTATATGTGCAAACTACACTACAACGAAATTGTACAAATTGTATTATTTATATTTAAATTGTTAATATAATCGTAATAACTACTATGAGTTAAGTTAATTAACGGTTAAGTTGGTTGAAGTCTGACAATCGCAGCCTACGTGCCCATCAGAAAATAATTCTACTAACATACTTAGTATACATTTATTATTCCATTTATAATAACTTCTAATACAGGCTCACTTAAGATCAGTTTAACTGGCAAAAGTGAGGCATATATCTTATCATTCCTATGGTCACGTATTTGGTTTTTTTTTTCAACTAACACCCCGTTTGTCGTGTGTTTTGTGATTGTAGTTTTTTTACTAACTGCCTGTTTTGTTTTTCTTTATTTTTTAATATTTTCGCCTCTATCCGGTGGTGATAACTTGGTGCTAGGGCAAGTCTAACTAGAAAATGCTTAAATTAAATAATAACTTATACGCTTATGTACTGTGGTGCAAAGGTACAGAAAGTTTCGGTCAGGAATCATTCCGAGTTACCTGTGGCATACGACGATTAAAAAGTAAAATGTCCGTTTGACGGCTGTCACATTGACGTTTTCGTTAACGTTCAGAAATGTGAGGCGATGGCAAGGTTACGAATTATGAGCGGATAATTTATTTAATTTATGATCTAAGTACCTCAAATAGAAACGAGATTTCTTGTCATTGAGTGATAATAGTTATACGTTTAATTAGCTCTGTCAATAATCTATTTTTGTGTTATATCTACTAGATTTCTCGCATAATATTTACTTTGTAAATGTAATTTGACTGAACTCCTCAATCTCTCACAGTATAACTGTATGTACTTACTTTGTTTATAGGGATAGGTTGTTAATTGATCTTATTCTTATACAAAATGTTAAAGTAAAAGTGCTGTTTGTATAAATATTTAGAAGAATAAACGTGTCAGTTTGGAAATTATAAATGGAGTTTCAGTCAATTAACACCCTTCTCTATTAACTCAAAGATTCAACAAATAGTGCTCATAGGATATTAGGATAAACGAATATTAACTTTATTGTCTGTAGCAATAAGATGTTTTTCCAAATTCTAAATTCTCGTACATGTTTGGGCCTATTCTCTTCTCGCTTTCTAATATGTGTTTGGCGATTAATTTCCGTTAAGCTTGAGTTTTCATAGAATAAAGTTATGTAAGTTGATTGACGATTGTACAGATTAGTTAGCTAAAAGTTCTGAAAATAAAATAACAAATCTGGCATGGATTGTAAAGATAATATGTGCATGCGCATAAAAAGAAGTGAAATGTTTTATTTTTGAACAAAGTGAGTAAATACTGATTTTCGTGTGCTCTATTTTGTTGAACTTGTAGGCATAATGTCGCCAAAGCAGGAGTGGTAGGCAGAAAAGAAAAAAAGGAAGAAAAAAATTTTTCAAATTCAAAATTGGAATTCAAAACTTTTATTTTTTTTGGATTTGGAACTTTACGCTTTTGTCATTAGACCTATTCTTGCTTTGGCTTGGAGTGTATTAGGACAACTGTTTTGTTTTACGCAGACGGAGATCGTGACGAAGTGCCGCGAAAACATCAATTTGCTGGACGCAGCATTGGCTGGTGGGGCCCTGTCGCCAGGGTTGCAAAGGGACGTGAGAGGTAAGTTATTGTGTGTCTTATTTTGAATAGATTTAGATCGAGTTTTGATTAATTTAACTGGAAAAACTATTAGGCTTATTAATTCGGTAGATACAGCTGCTACTTGAGATATTGGTCTCAAAAGACCCAACAAGATAACGACGTGATAAAACTGGATTAACTGGATCTGTTGTAAATGTTAACTCGACATTTATTCACACCCTAACGGCCGAATACTGAAACGCCATTTAAATATTTGACGGCTTCTCAAATAGTTAAGCAGCTCCTAAACTTACATTTCGCATACTCAAAACAATATCTGAGCAGTTCTCAATTTTTAAGCACCTCTCAAATTAAGTTGCACTCAAACGCCACTTAAATGAATTTTCGCATACTGAAACGCCATTCAACGCTAAGCATTACTCAAACAACTGTCAAAACGTCTTAAGCAGCTGTTAAATTTGAGAGTGCTTGCGCGGTATCTTAAATCCTATTCTTATACCTAAATCGACCTAAATAGTGGTAAATAATGTGTGTCATCGTTATCATTTCTTTCGAGCCTCGAGGAAATACCTAGATCTAATCGCAGGAACGCAATAAGGCTGAACGCTATTGAAAAATATTATTATAATGACATGCAATTCCGAGCAAGGTTCCGCGTTCCTAAAGAAACGGTGTTGTTTCTGGATTCATAATTTGGAAGCTCTTTGAAACCCCTCACCAAATGCCATACAACCAGTGGACCAAATACTTATTATAACCCTACTGTTCTACGCAACGGGAAGTTATGAACGTGTACTAGGTGATATCTTCCACACCTAACAGCCAGCTGTGCATCGTATAGTGCACGAAGTAACAACCAAAATAGCTGCTATGAAATCGCTTTACATAAACATGCCTATTTTTGAGGATTAAGGGGACATCGCATAGCAGCATTTCCAAGAGTTGTTGATTTGTCAATTTGATGCTCTGTCAGTCAACAATGATATTATGTCAATAGGCTAGTTGCCTAAAAAAATTTTTTTAGTCCGTAATGTTTAATATCAAAAAATATTGGACACGTATATTTTTATTTGTCAATCTAACAAATAATTACATAGTTATGGTGCGTTGAAGTTGCGCACGACGTCACAACTGTTANAACATAGTTTCAAAAGGTAATAATATGTGCTCGTGATTCGTTGAAGGAATCAATTTGAAAACTGACGAACCTTTTCATTCCGTGACTGTACTATATCTTTCCTGCTACTTCTGTGTTTATTAATCTTACTTTTTGCTCATTGAGTATCAATGTGTTTTGCAAATAAACCATATATCTATCTATCTATCGATAAGAAAACATATTCAACGAACTTTAGAAAACCACTTTCAAACCAGATATTGGGGCACCTTCGCCTAACTTAATTTAATCACCTCTATTTCTAGGATTTATTGTTTTCTGGTTATGAATGTTTTCATATTATTTTGGAAAATGTTGCATTGCTAATAAAAACATAACAACAATACGATACTAGAAATCGTAGATCATACGTATTTCGAGTAACTGAAGGAGCTCTCTTTCCCTTGAGTTCCTCTTGACTCTACATTCATTCATAATAATAATTATACTTTCTTTTTGTCTGAAACTTGCTAATGTTCGCAATTAAATATTTAATTAATAAGAATAAATTCATTGTCATTTTGTAGTGTTCATAAAAAATTATATAAGCCCAATTATATCATTTTATGTTGCAAACTTATACGAGTTAGCGTATAAAATGTAATTCTGTAAAATAAACTACGTAGTAAATAAGCTAATGTTGAACTATTATTTCTAATTACTAAAATAAACGATTTTGATTGCGGCGAGTTATGTCGTCCTTTAATACAAAATTATCCTTATTAGTCATCATAACATTAAAATTTAATAGTACTACTTGTAAAATGACACACTCCAATTACTGATAGGTAGTTTTGTTTAATCCAAAGGACAATGCCCATTTTACTATGGGAGTCTGTACCATGTTGCATCAACCTGAATTTACTCTCAAAAGTCTAGTTTTTATTTACCTTTTCGCTACCAACATGTTTTTATTNATATTCTCAAAATACATTTTAGATGTATCTATGTTGGTGTTTTTTAAAGAATTTATGTAATACAAATTAGTAACGGAACTCCTTGTTTGTTATGCTTATGTACGAGTGCTTCACCACAATAGTCTATCGGAGACGGGGTTCGAACCCGTGTTCCTCGAATCTCCGTCAGACACTGTTGTGTTATTGTTATCTGTTGTCACCTCCATGATGATCCATATTGACTACCGCCTCTCTTTATATCTTAATCTATACTAATAATATTATAACGAGGTAAAGATTGTGTTTGTATCTTTGTTAAATTGTAAGGGGTAAATCTCGGGAATTCGGGATCAACTGAACCGATTTTAAAAATTCTTTCGCCAATAGAAAGTCACATTATTGCTGAGTGTCATAGGTTATACAGGGTGGAAACGATAAGTGATCTCACTCGATTATTTCTAAACTACACAATATATCAAAGAACTAGTTACTGATCCTGAAAGTACTTCATGAGCTCTATCAAACGGTATTAATAATAGGTTACATAATAAACTGGATCTATCCGAAAATTCAATGTTTCCAGCTTCCATACATTTGGTAAAGTCACATTATTTTAAAAACTACACATGATATCCTAAAACTGATTACTGATTCTAAAAGTGCTTCACTAGCTCTATCCAATGGTATCAATGATGGAAGAAGGAAACATTGAATTTTTGATAGATCCAGTTTATTCTGTAACCTATTATTGGTACCGTTTGAAAGAGCTCATGAAGCACTTTCAGGATCAGTAACCAGATTTTCAATATCTTGTATAGTTTAGAAATAATTGAGTGAGATCACTTAACGTTTCCACCCTGTATAAAAAAACGAATAATTCCACACGGGCGAAGCCGCGGGCGGAAAGCTAGTCGTCATAGAAAATGAAACGTCTTATCGAAATACCTGACTGAAAGAACGTACGAGAATATTCGATCCGCCTAAACTTGTAGTTAAAATACCGGCGTACATTCGTATGTGGCCATCACTTATTCCATTCGGTAACGCACGGGCGGCGGAGCGTGGCGCTTTGCTCTTAGTTGTATCTTCGGCTTGTGCCTGGACTGTCTCTGAATAGCTGTTGTAGGTACTTTATTTCGTTCAATGCTACGAGTACGTTTGTCCGCCTCAGAGGTTGGTTAAGCGTTTCCCGAAAAAGCTCTACATTTATAGAAGTTGAAGTCTTTTTTCAAAGTTTCATGGTTGAATCACTGTAATTGTCCAATGCCGTAGTTCTAGGAATTCTGTACCACTTTTAGTTGATATAAAAGTTTACTATACAGGTTGTTTGGGAGATATGAAGTAGGTATACGACTGAACGATAAAGAAAGAAGCGGCGCTCATTTCCACCAAACTGACTAAACAATTTTCATCGGCTTTAAATAGAGAGAAGTTCAGGTTCCTGAAAAAGCTTAAAATCGAAGTAATCACGAATCAACGAATGCTAGGTAGGTATATTGCGTAGCCCTAAGTAGAGGGCTTTTCAAGCAAATAAAATTGCTTACGATATTTTAACTTAGCACGGTAGGTGTTTTATCACGAAACTTAGCGTTCGCCAGTAGATACGTTTCCGTTGTGTGCTAATTTTATAAGTGAGTGCTTGCGTAGACGTACGAACGGGCGCGGCTATCTACATCTCTGCCGTCTATNTCTGTGCGCCGGAGCGCGACGCGTTACGTTCACTTCGCGTCGCACGCGCAACCCCTATGAGCTAACCTGTTTGCAATTAATAAAATAAATTCATTAATATACATTTCCCATTTGCTATTATTGTTTACATTATTGGTTTATTTGATAAATAATTTAATAATATCTAAGTAGGTATCTTGAACTTCGAATTTTTTTCAAAACAATTTAAGGAAAGAATTTTTTGTGATTTTCATGAGGCTTTAAACCATCTTTTACTAAATAACTTTTCTCATGTTGTGTGGGTGGAACTCAGGCAACTTTTTAGGATATAATGTAGAGTACATTACTATTTATCTATCCCTCTAGGATGAAGTAGGTACATGTACTAAACTTATTATGAGCAGTTTATTGTACCTACCTTAAGCCAAGTAGATAATACAAAGATAGTATCCAACCATTCATCAGCCTACCTACATAAACAGCATGCTGCACACAACATGTGTAATTGGTATCCTACAAGGCATATCCCTTAAAGTGAATGGCCACAGAGTAATTATTAGATTTTATCAATCAACCAGTGGTAGTTTGAACATCCTTTACTGCTTCCGTAGGTACAATATCTAATAAACAATGAATAGTATATGTATGTATGTAACTATGTACTCGCACTTACCTACTCATCATATCCGCTATGGAGATGCAACATCTTGCATTGTTATACAGGGTGTCCCAAAATTAGCACTTCACTCTAACACCTAGAATGAGTAGACGAGCGCATCGAACAAGTCTATTAAGTCCATTTAAAAAAAATAACTATTTATCAGTCATATTTCAAAACTCATCAAACTTTTCTATGGACAATAATAACCAAATTGTTCATAACTCATATGAAACTTTTCTATAGCCTTGTTCGATGTGTCTTAGGCCCAGCTACCACCAGTGTCAGTGTGACGAATCAAAGAATAGATACATATGTACATGTTGTCCCAAAATTCTTCATGAAGATTTCTTCGAAAGATTTAATTTATTTTTGGTTTGGTTTTAAAACCTTTTCTGCACGAAAACATAAAGCAACCCGTAGTTATCAAACACAAAGTTGAAAACTACCGTAAATACAAGAAGAATTTGATTGGGTTGCCTTTAACTCTCCATTTAAATTTAAAAGGATACCTTATCATCGTGTTGCTAAACTTGTGATGAAACATTGAAAAATAGTTGAAAGGGAAATTGGTGGTTTGTTACGGCAAACGATAGGTATAAGCGGTATTGCATAGATACGGGGAATGATAAGATGGACAACAATGCGTGTGTATGTAACACCGCCAAGTTGCGCTATACAGACCCTTTTACACTAGACGTTATGGGTTCCTTGACTAATATTTTTTAGGCTGCACTCTTTTGGTACCTTTTTTTTTCAATAAATCTGTCGTTAAACCGTTGCGTTGCATGTTGAAGTGAAGTCTTCTTCAGAAGACATTTAGAAATCAAGATTGCCGTATCACCGCCTTAAGATTTATTTTTATTTCGCTGTGAGACTTGCTTGGCGTTTTGCACAGCTATTACTTTATCTGACACGTATCATCAGCTCTACTTTTATAAGTTGGTGCAAAAATACCTACATTATTCGGCTTTTTGGGATATATGTGCAAGCGTCCTAAGACGCTTGGCCAGTGGGGCGGCGCGGGCGCAGCGCGGTCAGTCTAGGCGCGAACTCGGGCTACTCTACCAGCTTGCTTTGTATCGCACGCGCCGAAAACCATAATGGCCCAAGAACATGCAAGTGGTCACGACGAGGATAAAAGATTACACCCGGTTTATGTGGTTATTGAACTATTGCAAGTCTACTGACTTGATGTGATGACTAATGGTTTACATAATATTTAGTTTTGGGTTTAAAAACTTTGTGTTTTGGTGAGTTCGGGAAGCAATTTATGGTGTTGTGGAACTGTGATACACAAATGTGACTGTGGTTAGCGTATCATAAACGAAATCGTGATAATAGATTGTATGATTTAAAGTGAGTGTTTTTTTTTTAATAATAACGGTAATGTAACGGTTTCCAAGGAAATTCATGAAGCTTTCATTAAACTATCAAAAATTTAATATGCTGAATTGCTGATCTAGCATTTTCTCGCGGCAAAATGCCGGACTCATAAAATATAGTCTTTCAATCCCTCCCTTTTTTTGCGTCGGGAAATGCTTTGCGCATGCCCACTGGCTGATGGGGACAGTCAACCCTTTTCACCCTCTATAAGGGCTGAATTTCGAAAAAACATTCATTCATCATCATCGTCTTGAAAGTACCACTGTGAAAAAAAATAGTTTCCCAGGACCAAGGTTTAGGCTGGCCGTAGATGAGTTCGTTCGCTCGTTTCAACCAAATGACGTCCACTGCTGGTCAAAGGCCTCCTCCAAGGTTTTCCACATGCACTGTCCTGCGCTGCCCGCATCCAGGCTCTTCCCGCGACCTTTACCAGATCGTCGGTCCACCTAGTAGGAGGCCTGCTCACGCTACGTCTTCCAGCCCGTGGTCGCCACTCGAGAACTTTTCTGCCGCAACGGCCATCGTCTCTACGAGCTATGTGCTCCGCCCACTGCCACTTGATTTTAGCAATTCTGCGATGAGTTAGGCCTTCTCTTTTTATAGATTTGAATAAGCGAAAGAGGTTAACAACTTAAGTTAACTTGAACTACATGTAATGTAGTGTAGTACAGTAAGACGTAAATAGGCTGAAAAGAGCGACTGTTCCAATGGTTCATGCCCGTGATAATTGCGGGGTTGTTAATTTGATAAGTGACATGTTGTCACTGGATGTAGAGTAACTTGTTACAACTATGTGTGATGCGTGACATCGCTTAAACGTGGGTTGCGGCACTTTGTTGCTATCAAGAACGTGAACAAAACAATAAGTATAGCCTACATATAATTGTAAAAAAAGAATGAGGAATCATCATAATTCTACTTTTTTATTGGATACCATCGCAAAAAACAATAGAATTATTTGGGGCTAACAATGTTAGTATAGCGGTTTTCAAACTTTAAATTGGGCAGCATTTAATGCCAGTCACGATTCGGTACTGAATCGTTTTGTAGTTTTTATTTTCATTGACACAAAACAATAACAATTCTAAAAGTAATGATGATCCTTTAATATGCTTTATTATTATAATCAACAAAAGGGCATTTTTTATTTGACCATCCAATGGTTGTAAAAAACCATTGACAAAAGATCTGCTCTGAAAGAGCTTGCAATAAAAATATCAAAGTTTACGATTTTTCGGCTGTCAAATTTAGTGGAAAAGTGTAGGTAATTAGTAGAACAATCATGAAGTCATCTCCGTATAGTATGTTTACTTATGCATACCTGCGTTTATGCGTCAACTAGATGTTAAAGTAGAAGCTTAATTAAGTTTGAGGCGAGGTAAAGCCATATTTCAGAGTAATATTTAAACTATTCTAATTAACAATGACGCAAATTACCTGACCCCAAAATTAGCAAAACTATGGCACCAGCTAACGGATAGTACTTGAATAGACATAAGTATCTACATACATATACTCGTACATAAACGGCCATGACTCCATGAAGCCTATGTGTGTTTTGTTATTCTTGCTTTCTCAACACCGGACTTATTAAAAGTAATTGCAAAGTAATATGCTTTTCAAACTCTTAATTTCGTCAGTCACGGTGGCTGGGCTTGTGGGCCACGGATTAACATATGGCCAGTCTCGTCCGGGAGCGGTGCGATGCTTCGAAACCCTATTGTTAAATAAAACTTATGCAATTGTTTCTAGCGGAGCAAAGTATATCAACTTTAGACGAATACATTTCCAATTTATTACGAATTGTTTCAACAGCTTGGTAATAGCTAGCAAACTTAGCAGAACTTGTTTGATGATGAACTTCCATATAAATGTTTATTCTATGCAGGGGTTCGAGCACACTACATAGTTTAGTTAGAACAAGCTCTGAAATAGTGCGCCCAATCAGTTTACCCTAGTTTTAAATTGGTTGCTATGTTTACCAAAATGAAAAACTGAACTCTCAAAAATTACGTATAAAATACTTGGTTTCTACACGGTTCTAACTAAAATAACTACTGTTTTTTGTTCATCACAAAATCAATAAAACTAACGAAGCAATCATTAGCAGCCAAAATGCTGAAATATCTTTTTTGTGAATAAGGGAATATATTAAACGCTTTAACCATTAATAAATCGGTCTAAAGGATTTTAATTCATTTTAATGTTTTAGTAGCACCGTACTGATTCAAATATTTTCGCCAATTCGGAAACGTAAAGCCAATTAAAATCCTATGAAAGTATTTCAATTAACTCAACCGTTTGTATTAAGTACTTGAGTCATCGGGAAGCGCTTGTTTCCTGACTTATGGTATTTTAGATGATATGCAAGGTCAGATAAGGTGTTTCCTTGTTCCGTATAATAACTAAATCCTTTGATAATTTATTTACAGGTTGGAGGAACTACGACTGAGTGACAACGAGCTTCGGTCACTCGATTGTGTGTTGAGGCTTCCCCGCCTCAGAACCCTTGTTGCTGGCAATAACTTAATCAGTAGTTTTGCAGTAAGTACCTAGTTTATAAATAAATAAATTCTTTCTTTGTTATTGCCGGTTGCTAACATAAATTTGTGTGTGTGATTTTCAGTTGAGTAACTCACAAATGGCGCCGGACGAAGAACAGAAGACGGAATATCGGGCACCACTCACAAGCGTTGATCTCAGGCACAACAGGCTCAAGGGAAGCATCATTCTAGGAAACTACGAAGTAAGTTACCTAAATGTATTTTGATGGAAAACTGTACAATGATACGACACGGTCTCTTCTTATTTGATTACCACTAGTGTTTTAAGTTTTTTTGTTTGGTTCTTCCAAATCATTTTAATACCAAAGGAAAATGTACATTATAACGCATACTTATACACACACATCTGCTGTATTTCATTTAAATCAATCAGTACTCAAATCATTCTCAGTATAGTGCACGCATATTTGCGCATATCAGTTTTGAAGATTAATTTTAAAAATCATTTTGCTCGCGCTTCTCCGTCTTGTACCTACTACATACCTACACATAGCTCATATCCATTGAGATGTACAGTACAGTTCCTTAAATGAAACTTCTTCACAGCTTTAAGTATAGTTTCTAGCTTCGTTCAGAGTATTTTTCACCACATTTATTATTCTAGTACAAAAGACATCAACGTTTTACGTCAAGTCAATTACTTACTAAATCCAAATAGGTGTAGGTACACAAAGTGTTTAATAAAATTTCTCCTGTTAAGTAGAATTTAATATCGTTTCAGCATCTAGTATCACTGGATGTATCCCACAATGCAGTGGAAGTGCTGGTGGTATCAGCTCTGCGAGGGCTCCGAGAGCTTTACGCTGCGAACAACGCGCTGCAGCATCTGTCCCTGCACGGGGCTTGTCTTAGGACCCTGAAGGCTCCACACAATCGTAAGTCGACCACATAATAAGTAGATAGGTAGGTATTAGGATTCACGACTTCGCGTAGATAACTCACTATGAATAAATGTTCTGATGAAAATGTAACGATGACATAACGACTCTACAAACTCTACACTTATGATATTACTGTATGTGTCTCAGAAATCTTAATTATATAATTTGTATTTATAACTTACAACTACGCCTATTTCTGGCCGTGCTATACAAGTGATTCAATGTGCTAGTAAAGTTAGCGCAAACAACTTGACTATTTGTGTTAAACGAATGTTTCCTTTATGGTTCATCGTTAAAAATTTGATGAAATGAAAAACAAGTGTTTTTAAACGCATAGTATGTGCATTTCACTTGTACATGATCCTAACATATCCATATTAATCTATTACAGAACTCGAGAGCCTCACAACGACGGTACCGCCTATTAATTTAGTTGAAATCGACGTGTCGCACAACAAACTTACGGCGTTACCACAATGGTTGAGTGGCTGCTCAGACCTTACGACGCTTCTTGCCAGCAATAACCAACTCACCGCTCTACCTGACCACTTATTCTGCAGTGAACTATCAAGCCTGTCAAAGTTACACCTAGCTCATAACAAAATTTCAAACATACCCTCAATGCCAAGGTTAAGAGCCCCATTAAAAGAACTTTTACTTCACGATAATTGTATACAATCTATACCAGAAAACTTCTTCTCAGTCTGTGACAGATTATCCATACTCAACCTATCAAACAATAGATTAAGCCGTTTACCAGTTGCGAGAGGCGCGTCATCGTATTCCTTAGAACGCCTTTATTTAACAGCCAATTGTTTAACCGATGACGTAGCTGAAGTCATCACAGCTTTTCGTGGTCTCAAGATCTTACACATTGCATATAACTGCCTCACCATATTACCAGATAGTTGCATAAACTTTTGGCCAGATATTGAAGAACTTGTTATATCTGGAAACTCGTTTTCTCGACTCCCTGAAAGTCTGCCGCAGTTAAACCACATAAGAGTTGTACGAGCACACTCAAATAGATTACGCTCAGTGCCAATGTTTGCTTGCAGCGCTTCTGTAAAAATATTAGATTTCGCGCACAACGAACTCGACAGTATAGATTTAAGACTGCTTGCCCCAAAACAGTTGAAGTTCTTAGATATTTCGTGTAACAAAAAGTTACAAGTAGACCCCACTCAATTTAATGCATACAGGTGTCAACGGCCGCTTAGTTTAGTAGATGTGACTGGAAAGAATTCTTTACCTTGGACACAGAAAAGCGGCTACCATGAAGAAATGACTGGGGGTACTCCGTGGGCGACGGGATTCTCAGAGTGCCCTAACAAATCACTCCAGCTTTGTTGTGCGCAAATCAGACTCCCGTCATTCTGCAACAAAGAGGGCTTTTTCGCTCTTATCGATGGTGAAACTGATATGGAAGTACCAAAGATATTGCAATCAAGTTTACCGGGCTTACTTCTAGAAGAAAAGTCCATCAAAGAGACTGTTAATGAATATATGAAATACGTTGTACTCTCAGCTCATAGAGAATTGAAGGAAAAAGGCCAGAGGAAAGGTGCTTGTCTTATTATGTGCCACTTGTCTCCTATGAACCCACCAGAAAATGGTTTTGGCCATGTCGCCAGACGGTACACCTTGAGGCTGGCAAACGTAGGCGATACAAAAGCTGTATTGAGTAGACGGAATGGGCCTTTGAGTTTGGGAATCGAAAATAATAAACGTCTTGGATATTCCACGCGGTATCCTAGCACGGTGCCAGATCCAGATGTCGTCCAGACAGTTATAAAGGAAGATGACGAATTCCTTATAATGGGCAATGGTAGATTCTGGAACGCAATGAGTATAGACGCAGCTGTGTCTGAAGTCAGAGCTGAACGAAACCCTGTTCTTGCAGCGAAGAGATTACAAGATCTAGCGCAAAGCTATGGCGTCGAAGATTGCATATCAGTGATGATTATTCGCTTTGACACCAACAGGTCGGATGTTGACTTGCTAATGCGCGAGTTGAGGCAGACAATAACCAATGGCAATAAATCTGTATGCAGACCAGATTGCTGCTGTTCTCGGCTAGACGCGTGTTGTCACTCAGCTTCTCCTCCAAAACCTAGCAGTGACCGTTCTTCTCCTAGTGGACAGAGCGATCGCCCGCCGAAGTGAGGCGATCAGCCATCAACATTATGCCAGCGTTCGTTCGCAGAACAGACCATCAGAACGAAGGAGCTGTCGAGGAGGTGTTGCGAGAGCAATACGAGTGCGTGTTGAAGAAGATAAAGAAGATGATACTAGGTTAGAAGAACTCCCCAACTCAGAAGAACAGTTCAAATGCTGGGAGTATATGCTAGAGCAAAATACACAAATGCTCTTTGACAAGGAACTTGACAATTTGTCGAAAGGTATCAAGTCTAATGTAAGCAGTTTGAGGAATTTAAAGGGCTTATCGGGAAGCAGTCCTCAGCTACATTTGACAGGAAAGCAATCTAAAGGTGTACCGTTTTTGTCCAAGCACTTTGGTAGTGCGAGGTCTTTTGGAACGACACTAAAACCAGATTTCAGATTTGGATCTGGCAGGTTACCCAATGGAGGACCAAACGCTGCGTACTTTGGTTCCTTACAAAGGCTTATGCCATATCATTTGGAGTACGACTTCGCTGTAATACAAGAAAAAAGTACACATTCTGAGGACTCACTAGACCTTGAAGGCCGCATGCAACAGTACTGGGGAGTTGCCACAACAGAACTGTAAATAGTAAGTTAGTTTTGATGAATTCTGTAAATAAAACTTCCACTAAATTAGCATAGTATGTATAATTATTTATATACCATTCATCTGTCGACTAGATCTTTTGCACAAATTATTTTATCACTATGATGGACTTAGAAATAAATTAGTATGTTACTATATTTTTATCACATAGTAAAATTCTATGTACAGTTATCGTGATAAATCTTTGTCGAATTAATACATTTTAAATGACAGTAAAATTCAGTAAGTAAAACACTTTGGTTTTATTTCTAGAGTTATTTTATACATTACGTAAGAGGTCTCTTACATTCATGATGCTTAATACTATAATTTATTTACAAAATATTATGTACCTTGATTACTTTAAGGCGTTTAAAACATAACTATTTGTGCTTAAAACCACGCATATACACATATTATTTTATTTACAGGAAGTGAATAATCAATCTAAGGTGGGAAGAAACTGTACACACTGCTCATGATTATTCTCAAAAAATTAAAACGCTCATTACATTGCACTAAAACAGAAAGTGTTAAATTACCTTGAGAAGTTATGTTAAATATCTTTGATGACACTAAAGATTAAATCTTCACAATATTAGATGAACACAGTAGCACACAAAAAACATAGACAAACGAAGTTACACTTCTATCTACATGTTTGGGTAATTACATAATTTACTCATGTCAGATTTTCAGGTTTTACAGAATATACCGGCTGAATTGACTTGAAATCTAAATGCCATTATACCATTTACATTAGACCCTCATTCCTTCTCACGACTGTTAGAGTATTTCACCTGCGAACACATCATAACCATACCCTACTTTACCGATTGTCCATGCGCGGCGTTCGCATTGGTCATTCTCCTATACACATATTGTTTCCATTTTTTTTACATCCGTAACTGCTCACTATGGAGCGATCACAGCTCCCTCTTGACCACTAGTTCCAGCGGTTGCGCGAGCGGGTAGGGCGCTTGGAGTGGAGCCACAGGCGGCGCGTGCGCCGGCGGCGGCCGCCGCTAGGGGAATCCCCTAGGCGAGTAATGGTGAGGCTCGCCTAACCACGAGTCAGGGGACGGTGGGAAATCGGGATAACCCCCGGCAGCGGGAGACGAGGAACTGCTGAGGTCGGATGCTCCGCCCGTTCCCGCTCCGCCGATGCCGGCGCCGCTCATCGCTTGGCCTGGCAAAAATGAGGCTGATGAAGAAATGACATTAAAACGTGCCTTACTGGACAAATGTTGCAATTAAACAACTACGAATATGAGTGGCTTGCCTCGACCATTCAGATTACGGGTAAAGAAGCACTAACTATGCGTTATCAACAGCCCTTTACAGTCCACTGCTGGACTATGAGCCTCCTCCACTATAGGGGAAGGTTTTGCCATAATCTCCACGCTTCGCAGGTGGGTTGGAGATCGCAGTTTAAAAGATTGATGTTTTTCAGAGAGCGCTGCTGCCCGTTCTCTGTTTGATGTGTAGTCCCTAAGTCGCCTCTTACGACACCCGCGGGAAGAGTAGTGGTTGGTGACAAAATGTATTCTACTCTGCCGTCACCACACGGCCAAAAACTATGCGTACAAAAGTATAATTAATTATTTTAAGAATTTTCAGTTACATACTTAGTTGATATTTTTTACAAGAAGCAGGTTCGTATGTCTTTGATTCTTTGAGCAACAGAGTACTTGAAAGAATTATTTTTTCATCCATCATTTACTTACCGATATTGGTGTAAACGAGGTGATCTGGAGGGTAGTGGTAATGCGGGTGCGGTGGCGAATGCGTGCGCAGGTAGGGCGGCGTAGCGGCATAGCGCGCGCCTCCCGTAGCGCCCGCGCCGCCCCCGCCCGCCGGCGAGCCTTCCTCGCCGCCCAAAGCCACCGTACTGTAGCTGTCGTTGCTGAGTTCTGTGTGAAAGAATATTATGTTAATTCGTTCGCTTCAGCAAAATGACGTCAACTACTGGACGAAGGCATCCCCCAAGGATTTCCACAACAACCGGTCTACGCTGCCTCCAGGTGTTTCCCGGTAGAGTTTTAATTAGTTGTGTTTTATTGTTGTATTGTAAAAAAAAACCATTGGCGGGCAAGTGACATCATATTAAGTTTCAATTCATAAGCTGAATTTATGGCAAAAGCTTTTAAAAGCCCTTACAAAGTATAATAATAGATTTTTGTCAACTGGTCAATTAACTTTTAATATCTTTCAGGATCCAATACAAATCCTAAAAATTCAATTAAAGTTTAATTGCATCGACTGAGTGATATTATTTGAAAACAGCACCAACTAACAATATCTTGGTCTGTGTTAAATTCAGTCAAGTTCAAGATTTCACTCACCATGATGACTGAAAGAGTCAAGGTCAATCTTGAGTTCGTCTTTGTCGAGCAATCGGTCGTGTCTTGGAGATCCTCCGCCGCTCTTCATGGACCTGAAGTACTGGGACCAGCGCGTTCGCCCGGCGTCTTTCTTTAGACGCTTTTCTTTCGCTCGTCTGGTAAAAAAGGAAATAGAGTTAGTTTTTTCCTGTCCTGTTGTTCTATTCAATTAAAAAGGCCATGGTAAATGGTAAGCTTTCATTATCTCTTATCTTACTTCTACTCGTACCTAGAGAAGGTTGAGCTTATAATATTTGAAATCTGTCTGATGGAGAACCACATTGCAGTTACCAAGTTCTGCATTATTAGGCATAGATGAACAGCATAGCTAAGCTCAAGATTATTACCTATCTACAGGTAAGTATCCTTACAGTTAAGTAGTAGGTACACCATGAAAATATGAGTCAGGAAAAGCAAACAATTAAGTATGTTGATTCGCAGTAGCTTGATAATTAGATTGATACAAATATTTATATCAAGTAAGAAACGAATGTCGTTAAACTTCGAACTAAACAAGCAAACCTTCATGAAATTATAACGAGCAGAAAAATATTATCTCAACTTGCTAACGCGAGCTCTAGTTTTTCATTACTCAACATTTGCCGCTCCGATTGGTTTCGATTAAAACAAATAATCATATAATATGTAGTGCAAACAGCTCCCAGTGTGTTTTGCGTGTTGTTATTAACGCAGCGGGGGCCGACAAAGAGGCTGATTAATTTAAGTGCCCCCGCCCAGCCCGTGGGGAGCGCGTGCGGCGATATAGCCGCGCCGGATGATTGGAATGGGGTAATCGCCTCTTTCGTAATCCATGTTCTAGTAGTTTTTTAAAGCTAAACGAATATCGACATGGTAAGTTTTCTTGAATTTTTTCTACCTTACCAAAAAAAACTTAATAATGCGAGTACCACTTACTTAAACATGCTTACACCTATAAGATACTGTAAGACTTAGACTTAAGATATTTTGTTACTACTAATTTTATTTGCCTAGTTATTTGTATGTTATAGATCATAAATTTTTGAGTGTGTACTGAAAATTCTATGTTGAGCTTTTTTACGCAAAATGTTAACACCGTTTTACACAGTTCAAAACGTTCTCCTGAAAATATTTAAAGCTTATACAATATTATCGCCGTACGTACTTCGTTGTAGTACCTACTAGGCCCCACTTTAACATTTTAACTTAGATCTTTAAAAATACAATTTTGTTAAAAAAAACTCAGTCATAAAGCATAAAACTCCGTTAGCCACAGCTGTTAGTTTTCTTATATCAGTGAACGCACAATAGGTTTCGTTCCATGTAAAATGGCCGTCGATACGAGCTGGTTTACGAGGCGAAGCCGCGTGCATACCGTACCCGCTACTGTGACACCACGTGCACTTAGAAACTAAAGTTGTAGCTAGAAGTTATTTTTATAGCACTTAAGTTAGCTTTGGCAATAATGTTCCATGACAAACATTTAGACGTAGCAATAAGGACTTTAGTTGGTATATTCATAGTTTATGCGATAGGTTTGGTTTCCCGTAAAATGGCCGTCGATACGAGCTATACGAGCTGGTTTACGAGGCGAGGCGGAGCATGCCGTGACCGCTGCCGTGACTGTGACTCTACCCTATGCCTACGAATTGAATAGGTACAGGAGGTCTAGCAAAGTGCACATTATAATCGCAAACCAGTCGAAAAGTGATCAAAAAGCCTTTTTTTTGTGATGATGTTGTGTTGTGAATGTTACAAAAATACTTCATATCCAATTAATTTAATTTCGTATTTTAAAGTATTATACATAGCTGTTATACGAAAAAGTTATAGTCAATGAGTCTCCATAGCAGGAAGGTGTTCCTGGTCTCAATATAACGTGAAACCACATGATGAAGCGTCTAGCAACACATTCAATTGTACCTAAGTTAAAAGTTTACGATTAACCAACGCGACCGAGAATAGAAGTTGCAACACGAGACAGCCATGCCGCAACGTTTTGATTCTCTCTTCTTAGTCGGGCACTCTTGTCAGAGTGGTCGTGGTTGCGCTGACGAGGTACATGGTGGTAATTTCATCTCTGAGGGTAGCTCTCCTGGCGATGTGCTTCCATTTCTGACGGTTAGAGGCGTCGCGAGTACACTGGACCATGGTGAACTCAGTGGCCTTTGTGATGGCGTCTATCCAGCGGGTTGGCTATCGAGCGCGTGCTCTCTTGCCTTCAACCTGGCCCTGAACTACCAGTCTCTCCATCGAGTTCTCATTTCTAGAGACATGACCAAAGAACTTCAGTATTCATAGTTGCACAGTTGACGATAGTCTGTCTTTAACACGAAGCTCGTTGTGATTAGTGCCATTTACATTTTGAAAATCATAACTGCTCCTAGTATAGAACATAACAAAAAATATGTAAGTACCTACGTTGACTATGTTTTATGCTTATGCATAACCGTTGTACTTATTCAACAAAAGGAACACGCTGGACAAAGGTCATCATTGCAGCAAGGCCGTGTCATTGTCGCTATTGAACGCTTTAGTGACCTACCGATTGACGCTGAAGTATTCATAAATTCGATCAATAGATGACCTCCAGGAATTGCCTATTGCAGAAATTTGCCAGCATTTTGTTACTGCTATTCAAATTAATAATATTTTTTCGACAAGTCTACTTATATCTATCTCATTTTCAGATGGCTATAGATATTATTATCTTTCAGTTAAGTATTTCCGGTGTCCCTAGACAATTGTCTAGGGACCTATTCGATAATAAATTATAAATTAAAAGAAACTTTCTTAGAAACTAAAATAAAAATAATATGTTTGTTAATTTATGGAGTTCCACATGAACAATTTTTATGTAATTTTTATTGGCAGTGCCAGTTGATATTTCTTTCTAAAGTTTTACTGTTTAGTTCTAGTTGGTCATAAAACTTCTAATCTCTGTTTACGTCTTGTTAAGTCAGTGACCATTTCAAAATCATTTGTGCTAACTCGCTTCCCATATATTCTCGATGTATGCAAAATTGATTCAAATGTCTCGGTTTATTCATTCTTTATGGTTGAAGTAACGATTTTTATACCTTGCATATCTAATTCGTGTCAAATCTGATAAGAAGAAGTTAATTCGACACCGTGTACGGGTACTTAAACTACGAGGCAGGTTTACAAAATAAAATAGCGATAGATATGTGTAGCATAAACTATACGAAAACTTTATGCTTAATTTGACACGTTACTATACGAAGTTTTGGTTACATCTTTAACACATGAGAGAGCCTACTAAAGATATGCTTTGTAGTATCTATTATATAAAAGAAAGTCGTGTTAGTTACTCCACTTATAACTCAAGAACGGCTGAACCGATTTAGCTGAAACTTGTCAGGGAGGTAGTTTAGAGCCAGGAGAAGGACATAGGATACTTTTTATCCCGTTATTTATTGCCATTAAGGCGGAACAAAGTTCGCCGGGTCAGCTAGTTTGTTATAGTTAAAGGTAATAAGTGGATTTATTTCTCACCTGTTTTGAAACCAGACTTGAACCACCCGCATGTCGAGCCCTGTATCATGGGCCAGCTGTTCCCTGACATGCCTCGCAGGCTTCGGACTACTGCTGTAGGCACTCTTCAGGGTCTCCAGTTGCTTCGCCGTGATGGTGGTCCGGGGCCGCTTGCTAGCCGCGTCCCCGTCCAGGGAACCCTCGCCTCCTGTCGTGGAATTCAGTTTAGCCTTAGAAGACCTTTTTGGTGCGGGCTACCTTTCCTTTGGAAACGCTAGGGTGCAAAAGAGAAAGGCGCTGGATATCACATAGGTCTGATGGTTGTGCTATAAGGTATGGTTTGTGATTTTATAAGGTCTATCGGTCTATTTGATATTTAACAACTTTCTGAAAAAATATTTGACTGGAAATAAAGAAGGTGCTAAATATCAGTGTTTAAGCAGGTAGGAGGTACATACAACGTCAACTTAATCCCGCAGCGAGGGTTAAATAACAAAGGGTCATAAAAAGTTGGCAAAATTATGTAAGGAATAAGAACATTGCTAGTCAAATAAAAGCTTGTAAAATGACGAAATGGTGAAAGAAAAGTTCTGTATGTCGGGAATAAGATCGCGAAAGCTCGCTAAAAACCTCTATGTAAGAGGTACCTAAGCTAATATTTCAATAGTTTCAACATCGCATCACCCAAGAAGTTCCAGTTCAATTTAATACCTCACCTTTCGCTCTCGCCGCTTCATAGTCCGGCTTGCAGACCAGTTTCCCGTCCTCCATCAGGTAGAACTCGTCGCCAGTATTGAGGGTTCTAGCACAGGCTGCACAGGCGAAGCAGCGTAGGTGGTACACGTGGGACTGGGCGCGGCGCACCACCTGCGTCGGAGGGATGCCCTGCCCGCAGCCCGCGCACTTGGTGCCGAACCGCCTGGGACAACAGCCGCAATAACAACAACATTATCAACGTGTTTTGAACTTAAATATACGTAGGACTTAGGTCTGATAGGAGTGCAGGTATCTAACGCATGAGAACATTAGAGTTTGTGGGGTAGACGACATTGAATCTATAGATCCGCCTTGGACAACAGCCGTAGTAACCAATATTATCAACGTGTTTTTAACTTAAATATAAGTAGGTGGGTAGAGATACCTAGCTAATAAAACTGAAATCATTGCTATGCCTTAAATAATGTGTAGTGGAGCGGATTTGTCCTAAGTACCTATTTTGCGAATCGATGATGTCTTTCGTAGCTATTGTGACAGCTTTACAATAGCTTTTTTCAGAGTTTGCTAAATAACTACATCACAAACAATCGTTCGGAATTCCTAACGAAACATTTAGTCAGGATGACTCTTTATGAGATTCAAACTGCTTATGGTTGAGGTTGAAAGGTGGCTTTATATCTCAAGACCACAGATCTGCATCTGGTGGTACCAGCTTCATATGCACTTGTCTATGTTTGTCGATTTATTAAAGCGGCTTACTTGAAGAAATCGTCCGTGCAATATAGCTGGTTATTCCTCGCGAAGCACTTCTCGGACAGCATGATCCTGCGCCTCGCCGTTTCAGCACTAGCGGTTTCAACGCGGAGACGATATTATTAAAGCAGCTTACTTGAAAAAATCGTCCGTGCAGGACAGCTGATTATTCCTCGCGAAGCAAAGCATTTCCCGGGAAGCGTAGCTCTGCGCCTTCTGCAGCACCACACCTTTAGTATTCCGCTAGCACCAGTCATGCACCAGTCTATATTTGTCGATGTTATTAAAGCGGCTTACTTGAAGAAATCGTCCGTGCAGTACAGCTGGTTATTCCTCACGAAGCATTTTCCGGACAGTATGGCTCTGTACCTCGCTATCTCATTGCGCATTTAAGTCTATTTTGGCGATATTATTCAAGCGGCTACTTGAAGAAATCGTCCGTGAGTACCTACTGGTTATTCCGCGCGAAGCATTTCTCGGACAGTATGGATCTGTACCTCGCTATCTCATTGTGCACTTAAGTCTGTATTTGTCGATATTATTAAAGTGGCTTACTTGAAGAAATCGTCCGTGCAGTACAGCTGGTTATTCCTCGCAAAGCATTTCCCGGACAGCATGGCGCGGCACTCGACGCATCGCAGGCAGCCCGCGTGCCACGTCCGGTCGGACACCTTCAGCACGTACCGGTCCACTATCATCTCATGACAGCCGCCACACTTCGGGATACTAGCTGCAACATGTTTGCATGTTGTTGTATTGGAAGAAAACGTTTTGGAAACTCAAATGATAAAACAAATTATTATTATTAAACATTGATATTTTATTAAATAGCGAAGCTTACAGCTATCATTCAATGAAACTTTTTTTATCCACAACGAGGAAGCTCTTGGCCTGTATGTGATGATCAGGCTGAAGGTGGAAGCGAGTTTCACCCGGAATCCTCAAACCACGGAGGAACTGACTATCTTACCTCTAACTGCCGGAACACAACAATGCTGTTAAAATTGTTGTTATGGCGGCAGACTTAGGTAAGATGGTGGTCTTAGAACAAGCCCTACCACCAACCAAACCGAACAGGAAAATCTGCCTCCACTGGGTATCGGACCCGGGACCTCTGCGTCTGAAGCAGTTGGTCTTACTATTAGACCACAGAGGTGGTTAAAATGGTCCAAAATCTTTTCAGTTTGATAGTAAATGGAAACTGTGTTCATTTTACGTAAATTATCAATTTTATGAAGTTTCCCAAAGAAGAAGAAACGGCCACGCATGTTCTTTGCTCATGCGGCCCGCTTATGAGCAAAAGAAGTATCTATCTCGGGCGCCACATCATGCACCCGAATGAGATAGCAGATATCACGCTCCAAAGAATCTGGAAATTTATAGACTCAACGGGACTAAGCAGTGAACTCTAAAGACAAGGGCTGCCACAATAGATCAAACCTGGCGAGCTGGCGCAAATGAATGAAGGCCCAAAAACCAATAATAATAATAAATAAGTTTCCCAATGAAATGCAAAACTGGTTATAAATAAGTAAATAAGTTCGGTTTATTCAATAGAACAAAACATTATAAAACGACGTAATCTCTATCTCCTAAATAAAATATTTTTAAATAATTTGTATCGGAAAACGCAGCGTGGGACGTCCACCTACAAGGTGGACCGGCGACATCGTAAAGGTAGCAGGGAAGCGCTGGACGCAGGCCGCTACCAATCGATCAACATGGAAAGCAGGCCTATGTTCAGCAGTGGACGTCCTGTGGCTGAAATGATGATGATGATGATGATGATGATTGTATCGTTTCAGCCAAATGACGTCTGCTGTCTGGAAAAAGGCCTCCCCGAGGATTTCCACAACGACCGGTCCTGCGCTGCCCAGATTCAGTTGGTTTTTTATAAATTTATTCAAATAAAATAATAATAATAATAATAAAACGTGTTGGATCTGTATCCCCACGCAAGCCTTATAAAGGACCGGGCCACTTTTGACCCGTGAGCTCCAAAGCGTACAAACATAATAATAAATATTTATTTTCATACAAGGCAACAGTAGTTATTGCACTAGGCTCGCAGACCTGTGTCGCAAAAACTATAAGTGGGTTTACAATTAAGTAGGTATTCAAGTTCGGTATCTTTCAGTCCAACTTAACATCCTAATTACTGAAACGCGCCATTTGCATTGATTGAACAAGCTCTGTAGCTTTAACAGATTAACGCGAATGAAAAAAGTGTGATTATTGTTAATTTGTTTATTAATCTTATAAATTGATTTAATTAAAGTTTTAAACTAAGTAGGTAACTGGTTCCCCTTTGGTCTCTTCCATTCTGTTGATGTTATAGTCCATCTCCTATCATTATACCTTGCTAGGTGTCCAGCCCACTGCCATTTTAGTTTTAAAGCCTTTTGTTTGTTGTATAACTAACATAACGAACTAAAATGTATTTTTTTATTTTTTTACACAGCTCATGGGTCGGATTGATGACAAAACAGAAGACGAACGAGAGAAAACTCGTATGATCGTGCAAAAACTGTACAGTGGTCGTCTTTTGAACCTGGGATTAAGAAAAACAAAGAAAATTCTAAAATGAGGTAAGAAAAAGTTGTATTTGCTTGATGTACCATACAAATGTGTCTATACGTTCATTATTGATATTTTGGTTGCGTTGCTTCGCTACTTTTACAAAGTTGCACATGTTTTGAAAACTTTTTTGTGTACTTATTTTACATCAATTATTATGACTAAAAACTTTTAGAAAGTTAATTTTCACTGAGCTTAATAGGCGTTTAATGGAGAAACACCGTCATAGTTGATTGTTGCTTTGACAAAAAATACCAGATTAACTGTTTTAAACATATCTGAAGAATTCCTTCTGTACTACTCGTAAACACCCAGACGACAGTCTAAAATCACTGAAACTTGCCCCTTAAGGCTTAGGCGCACAACACTAACACGGCACACAAAAAACTTTACGTACATAGGAACACTTCGGGTAGATGTTCTAGCTGGATGGGTGGCACTCGCAAGTCCTCTTCCTCCGCGCCAGGGTACATCATGGTGCCGAGCATGATGGCGACCGCCCCGGCCCGATTCGACTAGCGCACTGAGACCACCCCGAACCCCACACCCCCAACCCCTCATTTTGCCGCCGCCGCCATTGGTCGCCGTAGACTAGCCGATAAATCCACCACGCCCATCGACCAATCCCCAACGCGTGCCACCCAAAGATCGATCGAAGCGATTTTCGCATTTCCACGCGAGCGTATTGAACGCTTACGCCGGCTGCGACGCTGATCGCTTTTTTTATCTTTCAGCCTTTTTTCAGAATGATTTCAGATCTGAAATCTTTTGTGCGCTTGCCATTGTGTTTGAAATGTTTTACCTTTTTGTTTTGAATATTTACAACGTTCTTCGTGGAACAAATACGTATTTTATTATTTTTAGAAGAAAATTTCTGGTTTAGTCTTTGCTGGTTGACAAGGATAAAGNTGGATAAAGAGAAGTTCTAATGACCATTGTTTAAGTACTTAATTGCTCTTTATCTGGTCTTAATTTAGTTCCGGTCCTTTTCATCCGACAATTTAAAAAATATACCTACCTACAATATTGAATTGTCTAGCACTATACATTCGCTAGAGATAGATATTAAGAAGCATTAAAAAACCTTGTTTACAATTATTGAAGTAGTCCTAAAAATGAAATAACAAACAAATATCTGGAAAAACATCACGCAATCTCAATTCAGAGCTTTCGTAGCATCTTCGTAGCATCTCCTTATCTACGGCGCGTAGGTAGCTTCTTGGAATAAGTTTACAAGCTTTACCGTTTTTTTTTACATATACTTTATTACCTGCTCATTGCAGAAAACAAACTTGATGTCAATTTCTATTCTGAGTAGGCCTACTTTAAAAAAAATGCACATGTGAAGTAATTTAATTGCGTTCTGCATATTACCAAAGTTTTTTACTGACTGATGTACCTACTGACTGACTGTATATTTCATTTTAAAAAGTGCAATATAAGTGCAGTATTATTTGTTTCAGGTGTCCACGGGATCCAATCGAACCCAGGCCAGGCAGCACTTTTCCAGCGACCACTATGGTAAGTACACTATACAATATCGTTCTAATAGACTTAACATTGTAAATGTATTCCATAGGTCTGCCTATTGCAGGTACGCCGATTGCGNGGATAAAGAGAAGTTCTAATAACCATTGTTTAAAAAGAACTTAATTGCTCTTAATCTGGTCTTAATTTAGTTCCGGTCCTTTTAATCCGCCAATTTAGAAAATATACAATTGAATTGTCTAGCACTATACATTTTATAGAGATAGATATTAAGAAGCAATAAAAAACCTTGTTCACAATTGAAGTAGTCCTAAAAATGAAATAACAAACAAATATCTGGTAAAACATCACGCAATCTCAATTCAGAGCTTTCGTAGCATCTTCGTAGCATCTCCTTATCTACAGCGCGTAGGTAGGTTCTTGGAAGAACGTTACAAGCTTTATTAGTTTTTTTTTCACATTTAATCTTGTTTTTCTGATGTTTTATTTTACATTTTACTATAATTATCTACTAATTGTAAAAAAGTTGATGTCAATTTCTATTCTGAGTAACTAGGCCTGGGCTTTAAAAAATGTGCAAATGTGAAGTGATTTAATTGCGATTTATTTAATAAATACCACAGTCTTTGACTGACTGATATACTGAATGTATATTTTGTTTTAAGTTAGTTTGATTTAGGTTGACTTTTTTGTATAAATATATAAGTAAATGCAGTATTATTTGTTTCAGGTGTCCTCGGGATCCAATCGAACCCAGGTCAGGCCGCACTTTACCAGCAACCACTATGGTAAGTACACCATACATTGTTATACAATATCGTTCAAAAACTAGTAGAATTTACATTGTAAATGTATTCCATAGTTCTGCCTATTGCAGGTACGAACGATTGCGAACAAACAAATCGTTTCAATTTCAAATCACTTATTTTATTAGTACTCAATCGTTTGCTTCACGGCCTCGAGACGTATTGAATGAAGCTTGGAATAAAGTTAACAATACGAGTTGTTGCTCACATAGCGCCATTGTATCGAAGCGTCACCATCGCTGTTTCTATTCCAAAACTCTCAAGTCGCATAAACTATAAATACGAACAATAAATCGGCGCAATCCGGCCTAGGCCCTGGTCAAGCGGAGCCCTCACGTCACACGTACCAATAGTGTTGCTCTACATTATCGATATGACTATTTCCTTGCCAAAAATAGATATCGGGACTCGTCGATTTTAGGTTGCAGTCAAATGGCGTGTCAATGCATGCATGTCCATAAACTGTCTGGAAAAGATTAGCCACGGAATCTTGCCATTTATACCTTGCTAATGAAAATTAGCTTTTTATTCTTCTGACAATAACCGGGTTACTGCACCGCCCTTCACAAACTGACTCTAGTTATATCAAGTTTCTCTATTTATTTGACATAATAATTTCCTACTTACCTGCAGTACGTTACCTACATACCTCAATCGTTTCTTTTGTTCGTGCTGCCCTAGTTCACCAGATGCGTATTAGAGGATTTTGACCTAGACTTTTAACATATTATCGACAGTAAGGAGCATCGACTCGCAATCGATTCTCCAACAGCACTAGTAGAACTCCTACAATAAATTATACAAGCGAGCGCGCGGGCACCGGCGTGCAACGTTACGGGCGGTATAAATCAGCTAGGCGTCACTCTCTGCGCCTGCTCGCACTGACTCAGGCTCTACCTAGAGCCGTTTTGATGTAGGTTAGCATGACTTAACTGTAAGGGGTTAACATGAGGCCAGGACACGTTCGATTTATGTTATGACAAGTGGGAGATATTAGAAAGTGGAGTTAAACTTGCGAAAAACTGGTGTTTTTGGTATAATCAGGTTGGTAGGGCATGAATTGATTTTTTCAATTACACATACATTGCCTAAAAAGTTTCAACTTTATAGTTATAGAAAAAATACGAGTTCTACATTTGGGCTTCTAATTTTACTAGTTTTTGAAACTACAAGGTTTTGCCTCTTTCCGTACCTACTACTGATAAAATGTTGCTCTTTCCGTACCTATGTTGCTGTAGCTGTTCCTATATTTTATTGTATAGTAATTTGGTGCAGTAAGGTCAACGTCGTATTTCGATGTTTAGTGGTCTAAAAATAGGATTAAAAGCTCTTACTTTTTCAGAATGATTGCAAACATTACAACTTAGCACTAAAATAATAGGAAACTATGGACTATATTGAGGACTAATGTAATTACTTAGCAGTCTGTTTGAATTTTCGAGAGAATAATGATCCTTGGGGGAGGCCTTTGTCCAGCAGTGGACGTCTTTCGGCTGAAACGAACGAACGAACGAATGATAAATGTATACGACATTATTAATAATGATAAGATGTATACGATACAAATAAGAGCCTAATTTCAACATAGATATTGCGGAAAGAACTTACTCGTACATCATGGTCAACAATGTCGAGTCTCCTACCTATGAAAATTTATTTTTCAATTTCTCTCGAATATTCAAACAGACTCTAGATTTTGATACTCCAAACGAACCGCCCTAAAATGATATTTGTGAATTTGAAATGGGACAGTTATTTTGTTCATAAATTGGGAGGAGGCGGTCGCGTGCGCGCTCCCGTGGGGATCGGCGCGTGCGCCGCCGCGGTAATTGAGGTGCAGCGAGTGTAGCATAGATAATAATATAATTCGTTACTGGATGAGTCTTGGATTTGTCGAAGATTCTATGACCTCCTTCAAAGCATTTTAGCTATTTTTTATAAAATTTCTTTTAGCTGTCAATCAACTGAAATTTCAACATCAAATTTTATTGAAAATATTGAACTTGCATACTACTCGTATAAATATAAAAAATATATTATATACCTAGATTTGATTTTCGAATAAAATAATGCTTATTTTATACAGTCGCCCGCTGCTGATGACATTATCCTTTGTAACCAAAAAGTAGAAAAATATTTTATATTGCTGAAGAACAAAATTCTTCTACTACTGTCAAAATTGTAAACTATAAAACAAACACTGTGAACAGTATTAATTTTAGTGATTTTTGTATACTTGTATGTTTGGGTTTAAGCTGTAAAGGATAAATAAAATAGCCACTTTCAGTACTCTATATCCTTGTCCCGGTACTAGTAGAGCTTCACAAATCTCCTGATCGCATGCGACAGCGAAGAACTCAGCTGGAAACAATAAGAAAGACTGATAGGAATCCTGCATCAAGTCTTTGTAAAAGTGCAAAAGTATGTTTTCAATAATTTTATCTGAGGATTTGGGTGGATTGCTTTTAAGTTTTCCTGAGCAGATGAGTAAAATGTAAACAGTGTCAAAACAAAGTCTATTGAGGTACCCGAAACTCCCCCATAATATTCAGTAAAATTTATTAGGTATTTCAATTATTTAACAGTTAATATGATTTTTAGCAAGCCATCTCATCAGTTTTCTCGCTTTATATTTTCAGACATAAAAGGTAGGTAAATATGAAACCAGTAAAAATCGTCACTGCAACATGCTACTACGGATTTTCCTGAATTAGTACCTACTATGTTTTGTCCAGAATAAATATTCCTTAACTTATCTCTTTTCGTTATCGACAATATTTGTGAATTTACAATATTTAAGTAAATCTGATTCTGCACAAACAAAGAAACCCCCAAAACAAATAGAGCCCATTCCCACCGTGCCTACGAGTACAAATGTCCAGCAATGATTTGTATTACTGTATTCCATATCAGATATGTATCAACACTCTCACGTTAGATGTGGGCACAATTTGTCCCAAACCGTAATTTTAGTCTCCCTATAGGCGTGTTTTCTCTCGACGCGTGCCAGCGCAGCCGCAGTATCCGATTACTATGGGAAACTGCTTTTGTATTATGGGACACACTTATCTTTGCCAAATCATAGTAATGTAATGTTATTTTACTACGATAAGGGGTCATTGGGTTAGTTTCTATGGAGCAGGGTGTATTTGTTTCTAATTACACCAGTGTTTCTTCTTTTACAAGGTATTTTGTAGAGTCATCATAAATGATCACATTTTGATTTAAG